TGAGACCAGTGCCAGGCTGGGGAAGCACCTGAAGTGCAGGTGGAGCACCCCAGGGCACTGTGCACCCACACCAAGCCCTGCACTGACCAGCTCTCCAGTGGGTATTTTGAGAGCTCAAAACCCATTTCATGCAGAAACACTGATGGACAGACCCCTAAATGTATGTGTATGCATCACCTTGGCTTGTGTCACCACGTGGGTACCGCCTGTAGATGCCTCCTGAAGCTCCAGCGGAAGAAAGAGAACCAAGGCTTATGCATGCTGATAAGACTTGCAGATAGCTGGCTTGTTGCATTAGCTCTTCTTTCTGTATTTGGAAAACACACAGAACAACCTGTGTAAAGAGGCTGCTTGTGTCTTGCATTTTCACCTCCTCCCTGGCATGTGTGGTACTCTGCTCTATTAAATTGCCCATTGTTTTTGACATTCCTCTGTAAATCCCAAATCACCGCATTATTCCGAGGTACAGTGCTGATGGCTCTTCTACGTCAGTTCCATTTTTAGTGTAATTTATGTAGCTTAATCTGTATCTAAATGCTCATCTAGATCCCAAATGGAAGGCGGATGAATGACTGATTAATCTTCTCCCCTCTCTCTAGAAACCGTCTCATGTAGATTGCTTTACTGTATTATCGTCTTGGCTGTCCTTCTGGGGTAACAGATACAGCTGTTGATACAGGAATTCAGGTCTGTTGTTTCCAGAAAGAATTGGGGCACTTAAAGTCTCCATTTCCCTTGATTACACAACCTCCTGAGAAGCAGTTCACGTCTTTTTTTTTTGCTAAAATTGGGGGAGCAGCAGGTTTGTTCTGATGAAAATACGTGCTGTTTGCAGAGATTCAGTTACCTGACCGGCCACAAAATGTGATTGCAAAGAAGCAATCATGGTAGGGTTGGCGTGTTTACAGCGCTGTCATGTAGGCATCAGTTCTGAGCTCTGTGATTTGACATTTGTATCAATTACGGTGAAGAACGTGGACAGCAATTTCCAGCTGGCCCCAAAACTGCAGAAGCAATAGTGACAATGATGGGGGATTGGTGCAGGTCTACACCAATAGTTTAGACGGTGCTAATGAGGCACTGAATCCAATTTTCTATATATTTGCCATAATCTATGTATTTCTATACATTGGTAATAAATTCCTGAGAAGCCCTTGGGAATCACAGCAGGGCTCCTCGGAGGCTGAAAGGTCTAACACTGCCCTGGGATATATGAATGCAAAACCAAGCAGGAATTGGGAAACCCAATTACACCTTTACTTGCTTTGCTGTGACCCATACCAAAATTCTGTGCTAATTACTCATATCTTCACCAGACTGGGCAGATAAAAATAAAAAAATATATAAATCAGGAAACATGTCAGCTGAAAACCCAGAGAGGATTCAGAGAAGAGCAGTGACAATAATTACAGAATGAGAAAACGTTCACTGAGATGAACTCCAACAGTCCCGTTTATCTGTCTTGAGGGATGACCAGTCTGTAGCACCACGTGTGAATAGGAAAAGCAAGAAAAGCTGGCTAGAAGAACATCTCTACGTTCTAGGAAAGATATGCTGGGATTTAACGGGAGCGGAAGCTAAGCTAAAAATAAGGTGCATATTTTTAACAGTAATTAAGCACTGAACAATCCACCAAAGTCTGTGGAGAATCTTCTATTGCTGTGTATTTTAAATTAAAAAGAGGAAAATAAAGGTTGCTTTCCAGGAGATGCAGGTTGCAACACAAACCTGACTTCGTATTGGTTTCAAGACATGGCAAATCTTGTTACGTTGGACAAACAAATCAATGCAAAACCACAAGGGCTAGCAAATCCGACCCCAAAGGAAAGGACTATGTGTTGCATTAAAGGGCATTTATCGGAGTCCAGCATTTGCTTGTTTCAGAGCAGCAACCTCTCACGCCAAGCTTGCGGGCCTCCACCCCCAGTTTGTACAGGAGGGAAACAAGAACAAGCTGCTCAAATCCCCTCTGCCCAAGGCTGGTGATTATCAAAGCAAGTCTGACTGTTCTCCACACTATGTACCGTAAATGTCAAGTTCTGGAAAAAAAAATGTATTTCGCTTAAGATCCTAAAACTGGATGACTAGGAATCTGTGTAGAGCCCTGCCTGAAAGGACACAGGTAAGCTCACATCCCTTTTCTTGCTGTTCTCTCCCTCACATCTATCTTTTTTTCCTTTTTCACGCTGGTTTCCTGAAGGTTATCCACAGATGTTGTGAAATTGCTGTGCTGGGGATACTGTGATTATTAGATGGGGATCCAAGCACCACGTAGATACCTTAACCTAGGCTTTTTTTTCTGCTTTTCAACACTTCTTGATTCAATCTCTGTGTTGGCATATATAAAGTCTATGTTTAAATGCGAAGCACACGACATCACAGATACAAATACATCAGTTTCTGTTGCATGTTTAGACAGGCAAATGCTTATCCAGAAAACTTTAAAAAGTTAGGGTGTGATTTTTACTCTCCCACACAGATCTTAACCCCTGGAACAATAAAAGGGAATAGTCCACGTTTTCCTGAAATGTAAGGAAATGTAATTTTTATTGAATTAAAAAAGTATTCTGTTTCCACCGAGCGAAGAAGCACAAAGCACTTCTGTAAACCAGCAGTTTTTGTTAAGTGGCATCATGGCTTATTACTATTTAATACTTGGGATCCAGTTACGAAGCAGGAACACAGTGTGTGAAGTGCCATACAAACACGGAATGAAAGGCTGCTTCCTGCCTGTAATAGCTGTAATTGAAATGCATCAACAGCCCTGCTATCTGTCACTGCTCTAACCACTGTTTTGGAGTCCCACCGCCAATCTCTTAGTGCCCTGCTCTGCTGTTGTCAGCCTCACAAATGAGGCAGCTGAATGCAATGGGTGACAAAGCAATTTTTTCCTGTAAGAATTAATGTAACCGAAAGAACACCTATGATTTAAGACACAATTTAAATCATGGGGGACAGCATACACGGCGTGGAAGATCACTGGGAAGTGAGTGGAGATGCTGGCTTTTCAGCTGCTGGCCTTTCAGAGCGCATCAGGGCTCTGAAATGTTTTTAACCACTTCATCTGCAAGACCGAATCGCCCAAACATTAGTCTGTTTTTCTGTCCTTCACCTCTGGTTGACCTTGGTACATGCAAGGAAGATGGCAATGAAAATGGAACCATTCACAGAGGCAGCAGGAATGCTCTCAGTAAATGATTCAGGTTGAACATTCAGCCTCACCAGTAGAAATATTAACTCTTAGGGGAAAAACTGCATCGCTGTCCATCATAACATTAACTGCTGAATTTTTTAGAAACATGCTCTTGGCAGCCAGTGGAGTGAGTATAGATATATGTGGTGAACCGAAGAAATGGAGATAAAAGTGGAAGAAGAGTTTTTCACTACCAGTCTGTATAAAAAGTGGATGTCATCATTGCTAGAGGCTTCTTATGAAGGAAGCAAGAGTTGGAAATCATCAACATTAATATTATAAATGAGAAAACAGTCATTAGGTGAATATGTTTCAAATTAAATCCACACTTTATTATTGAGCATTCCACTTAGTAACTTGTATTATTCAAAATATCAGTTATGTACTGTACGCATCTCTATATTCGCTCCTTTATTTAACAGATTTTTTTCTGGTTATTGCATTTTTTAGAAGTCACTTGAGGGCCTCTCTGGCCTTTTCTCATTGATCTAACTGTATCTATCCCTCCTTACATATATACAGAAAAAATGGACTGCAGTCGTGGGACTACTTGTGCTCAGAGGATGTTGTTTGCCTTTCATGTAGAGGAACAATGGTGAACCTGAAGACAGAGAGGACAGCTCGTCTCTCAGGTTCCCATGTGAGCTTTTCATTTTACGGGAAGCCTGGCTCCTACAACATGGATTTCCTGCTTCTCCAGATTCTTTTGTGAGCATCTGGGAATTCTTAATATTGCTGTAAATACACAATTCCTTTATAAATCTGAATAATTTGTCTCTCAAGAGTATATCCTTGTGAATTCCAGTTTGATTAGGAGCTGAATAGAACTGCATTCCTTTGTCATAGAGTATTTTTGAGAAAATTATCTGGCCTCCCTCTCATAGGCTAGGCATCAGTCTGTCATTTCATCACATTTTCTCCTATTCAGCCAACAATCCAACTTCTTCAGGCCACTCCAGATGAATTTTGTATTGAATTACTCATTTCCTTTCTATAACCTCTGCGTCCCATCCATGCATTATCTTTTCCCTTGCTCTGAAATCACTGTGCAAGACTCCTGTCTAGTTCACAAACCTTCTTTGCATTCTACAGTTTTTCTAAGAAATTCTTTTCTATTGACCATGACTTTACGAACAGATTGAGCTTCAACTGTCTCAAAAACAAAACACCATTGTTCTAGCTTCTATGTGTCTTCTGTGTTAAAAACCCATACTGGTTGATGGCTTATCTTTGATGTGCAGTGTGTTATCACTCCCCAAAATATGGTGGCTATTTTCTACAAGTACTTACACTCTGTTCACTTGTTGTTTCTGTATTTTTATTGCAAACATACATACAGACACTGGTATCTGGAGATGCATCACTTAGAGAACCTTCTCATACATATAAACTCTGCATGATTGACATGAAGCAGTGCATTGGCTAAACGTAATAGAAGGGGCTGCTACATATATCCATAAACTCTGGAAAAAAAAAAAGATTATTACAGAATAGGTCATATTACTGCATGAGGAACCTGTGTAGTACATTTTCCTGAGTATGTTTGCACACTTCTCTTTCCCCTGGCCCAACTGGGGGTCACAGGCAAAAACCCAGAGGGCGGTTGTGGTGCATTGGCATACTCCAAGAGGAGCAGGCATATAAAAAAATAAATAAACCTGAAGCAGCCCTCTTGCATAAACACCATGTATTAAGTGCCCAGAGAGACCAAGCAGCACATCCCACGGGTGTTTAGGCAGCTCGGAGCAAAAGGCCAGGGCCAAAGTGCAGCGGGCAGAGCTAACCAGGAGTCGAGCCCTCACAGCACACGCCTCCAGAGCGCTGCCAGCACCCTTCAGAGCACCCAAGGGACACCCGTGAGTGACAGGAGACGGCGCTGCCCCCCTCAGAGCTCTCAGCACACCAAGGCCGGGCGGGGGGCATCCCCTCAGGGCACGGTGCCCTCGGCGGCTCGGCAGGGGGCGATCCTCGCACCTCGCCGCCTCACGCCCGCCATTTTCTTCTTCTTCCTCCTCCTCCTCCTCCTCCTTCTCCCGCCGGTCCCAACGGTCCGCGCGCGCCGCTCCCCGCCCCGCCGCCATCACCCCCCCCCCCCATCCCAAAACGACTCCCTTCGGGGGCGATGCCAACGGCGCCGCGACGCCCCCTCTTCCTCCTCTTCCTCCTCCGCAGCTCCACCTTCAGCATGGGCGAATCGACCTCCCGGCTGCCCCTCGAGGGAGAAGCGCTCCCCGGCAGGAGCCAGCGCGTCCCGGTGGCAGGTAATGGCGACCCCCCCCCACCTCCATCTCTGCCCCTCAGCCCCTGAGGCGGCCCCGGCTCCCTCAGGCGGCCCCGCGCATGCGCGCTGAGGCGGGACGAGGGCGGGGAGGGAGGGAAAATGGCGGGCGCCGCCTCACAGCCGTGTGGGAGGAGCGGGCGGGACGCCCTGGGAGGGGATTTGTGTTCGTCATGGCGTTTCCTGGGTGGGCTCGGGGTGAGAAAAGCAGCTAATCGATTGGTGGAGCGGCCGACGAGGCTGGTTTTCGTTTGTCCATACGTGGGTTTTGTGGTTAATTTTTGCCTAGGGGGTTTAAAAACATTACCTAACCCTTCACGTCTCTGTTACACAATACCTCATAACGGCATCAAAACACGGTGTGGGTGTGCCAACCCGAGTGTTTGGAAAACTGAACTTCTTAAAAGATAATTCGGTGGTTTTGCAATGTTCCTCCCTTCATTTTGCGTAAATGAGAGGTGTCAGGTAAGCAAAGCAGCAACCTCGAGTTAAGGAGCTGATTTTGCCTTCTGTCAGCTGTCCTAGGAACAGAAAACATCGCAACATCATCGTCACTGCTAAATAGGAGTCCAAGTGGCACCCGCATGCTGCAGTATTTGTGATCATTACTCCCTTTCACAAGGCAGTTTTCAGAAGTATTTTCATGCCAGGCATCCAAGGTCTTTCATGAAACCTGTGAACTTAGGAAAAAAAATAAACACATTAAGGTCCGTAAGTGCTGGAGGGAGAATTATAAACGTCTGATGGTGTAATCTGAGTGGAAAGAGTGCTCAAGAGCATAGAAAAACACTGGATTGTACAGGTGCTTGGTAAAATCCTGGAGGTGGCAAGAAGGTGATGGTGAAAATAAAGGCAGCAGAAAGAATATTAAGTCTGATGTGGAGAAGTTGTAGTCAAAGGGGTACAGAGGAGGGCTGATGTCTTCAGGGCAGTGAACTTTAGAGATAATACTAAGAGTTGTGTATTGGGTGGATTAAATTGGCACCTTCCTGTTGCTTATTGATAAAAACCTGGATAAAAGATGATGCTAAATCCTGTTTATGCTTTTTAACTCCATAGATAGAATACTTTTGTGCTGTTATACAAAAATGTTCTCAATAAAGCCAATTACAATTTTTTTTGGCATTTTTATTCTATGACTAAGCATGGTATTATGTACTTAATAACAGCTTGGAGCTCCAACGAATTGCAAAAGTTAAAATAACTACTTTGCGAAAAGAATGGCAAGTTAAATTTTAAACATCGTGTAACATTTTCTCAGAAATATTTCCCTGTTTAAAGTGTTTTTAGACTGTGGGTCTGGAGAAACGTTTACTGAAAGGGATCTTCAGTCCAGCTGCTGTTCCAGTGCTGCTCTGGCTTCTAGTGAGCGTTTCCATATATCTGATGTGATCCAAGACACATTTAGTGGTGCTTCCATTTCTGACTGTTTCACCTGCTGAAACAAGCCCAGTTTGTGTGCTGTAGGCTGCTGACCAACTCAACTATTGACCTTGCAGACCTCCTCCAGTCCATTAACAACGCTTTTCAGAGTGGACCCACAACCAGTTAGAGTATTCCAGGTGAATTCTTACCAGTACAGCATAGAAGAGAATACTTCTTCCTCATTTTGCTATCATCTATGCTCCTTGTAATGCAGCCCAATACAGTTAGCTTTATTTGCAATGAGAGCACATTGCTGGTTCATATTTAACCTGGCATCCAGCATAATCCCAAGTCCTTTCCAGCAGGGCTGAGATTATTTTGCAGCAGTGCAGAACCTGTACTTCTCATTGCTGACCTTCATGTGGTTTCTGTTGGCATAAACCTGAAAATTTTCAAGGGCTCATTGGGCTGAAGGTCTGTTGTTTGGCATGTCCACTCTCACCTTCAGTTTAATGTCATCCTCAAACTTGCTGAATGTGTTTTCTGTCACATCATTCATGTTCTTGTTTAAGGTATTGAATGATATTGGCCCCAGCATCAGCCCCTGGCATAACCTGCTACACACGAGAAATCAAGATATTGATCACTGCCTTTTGATTTTGGTGATCCTGACAGTTTTTGACGTGTCTAGTGTCTAGCAATCTGTTCTTCGAGCCTGTACTTTCACAGTTTCCAAATGCATATACTGTAAGAGATGGTGTCAGAAGCCCTGCTAAAGTCAACGTGTGTTACATCCACTGCTTTGCCCTAATCTGCATAGCTGTCATTTAATTGTGAAAGGCAGCCTGGCTTGTCAAGCATGATTTACCTTTGGTAAATGTGTTGACTATTCCCAATTACTTTCTTGTTCTCTTTGTATTGGGAAATGGTTTCTAAGAGGACACACTCCACAATCTTTTCTGTGGCTGAGCTGAGGCTGACCAGCATCTAGTTCCTCAATCCTCTTTTTGCTTTCCTTAAAAACGGCTGTTTCTAGTCATCAGCAATCTCTCCCAGTCACCTAGATTTTTCTAGATACTACCCTATATCTGTCACAGTGCTGTGACAGTCACAGCAGTGAGTTTGCTCCACAACCTTGGACAAACTTCATGTGGCTCCTTGGATCTGAACACCTTTAGCTTCTTGAAGTAGTCATAAGCTGTCTTCCCCCCACATTGTTTGCTGCTCTCCTGTCCATGCTGGTGCATGCAGAGGTTTTGGAACAGTCTTTGTGAAGAAGCAAAAGTAGTGTTGAGTACTTCAGTCTTTCATACTACTTCTAGGTTGCCTTCTGTAGTCATTAATGCACCTATTATTTTTTCTTTTTTCAACTGTCATTTTTGTGGATTTGTTTCGTATTGCTGTTTATGTCCATAGTTAGTTTTAACTCCAGCTTTGGCCTTTTAGATTTCATGTCTAGAAGCCTAAGAAATGCTCTTCTGTCCTTCCTTTGTTGCTTGTTATTGTTTCTACTTCGTGCATGCTCTCTCTTAGTGTTTTACTTCACTAAGAAGTTATGTGCTTCTGATGAAGTTCCCATTTTTCCTCCGTGCTGCTTTATTCCTTAACTCTCGTAGAAACTTTTCAGCAAAAACCAGACAGCTCTGGAGGGCACCTTCTCCCTTTGGCAGCCTTGCAGGGCCTTCTACATAGCGATTACCTAAATAAGCCAGAATCTGCTCTTTCAAAGTCCAAAATGCTAAATCTGCTGTTTGCCTTTCCAGCCTTCCTTTGGATCCTGAACTCCATCATCTTGTGGTTGCTGCAACTCTCGGCCACCTATGGCTGCACTGCTGCCAGTTCTTCCCTGCTTATGAACAGCCAGTCAAGTAAAACATTATCCTTGGTTGGTCCTTCTGGCATTTTTGTTAGGAAATTGATTCCAGTGCAGGTTCCAGAATTGCTTGCACAACTTGGTGTTACAGTCCCAGCAGATGTCTGGGAACTGAGGTCTCCCAGGGGGATGAGGGCCTGCAGTCTGGAGACTTGTGCTGGCTCATTGCGGACTTCCCTCCTCTTGGTCAGCAGCTCTGTAGTGGACCCCAGGCCACACCATCTCCAGTGTTTCCTTCCCCCCTGATCTTGACACAGAGACACTCAACAGACGTGACTACATTCACCCTGGAGCTCTTTCCTGCAGGGTGCAGCTCCCCATCCTAGACTGCTGTGCTAACCCTTCCTGCGAACCCCATTCCTATCCATGACACTGCTCAAGCTGCGTGTGCTGCGCCACGTCTCCAATTCCGATCACATCTTAGGTCTGTGACCACAGTTGGGCATCCAAGTTGTCTTATTTATGAGCCAAACTTTGCCTTAGTGTATGGACACTCAAGGAAAACATCTGTCAGACATTTCTATGAAGCAGGAACCAGCAGTGGTCCTAATCCAGTGACCTGAGGTGTCCATTGTGTTCAGCGTGATAAGGATCTAGATGAAGAGTTGCAGCCCCTTGACCATGCATTCCCTTTGAAGATGTTGTTGTTTTGTTCCTCCTCCCTCATTCGTTATAGCTTGTTCACCCCACTGCTGCTATCCCCGTGGAGAAGGTTGTGTTGCACCTCCTTGCACATCTTGGTCCTGATGCACCAAGTTCCTGCTTCCTTGTAGGTGTCTGATGGGCATGGATGCTTTCTGCCCCTCAGTGGGATTTGTTGTTTTGGGGGAACCTCTCAGCTGAGGGTTCCTGCTTGCTGTTTACAAACCTTGTGAGTGCAGAGAGTGGCTCAGGCTGTGCTGCAGCCCAAACCAGAGGAAAAAAAAAGCCAAGTGACAGCTTCAGCTTGGAAATTGCATTTAATCCAGCCTTGCAAAAAGCTGCATGGCATTCCTTTCTCTTTAAGTTGCTGACCACAGGGTTATGTGAGACTTGACCTTGTCTGCCTTGTTTTTTTGTGTTGTTACTTATTTAGGGTCTGAGTCTAAGCAAATTATGGAGTTAAACCTTTGCTATGACGTGAAATTCTGTGAAGTGACTGGAAGTAGCTGGTTTGTGATTCAGTTTGTAACAGTGAGGGAAAGTTTGATAAAATACCGTGCTGTGAGTTGAAAACAATGCAAACGGTAGTAAACCTCACTTTTCTTTTGTAATGTAGTTGGATTTATCTGATCTTCAACAAATTTCATAATCTGGGAACGATGTTGTGCCTTTTCTTTCCTTGCAGTTGAGCTGCTGCATTCGTTTTTTGAAAATTATGCCTTTCATATGATTTCTGTATAGTGGCGCAGTACGATGTCATGTTCCATAGTAAAATTGCGTATTATTTATTGCTTCTGCCTTTCTCGTAGAACTCCAGTTTTCAGAATTAATTTTAGTTGCAATGTCATTGAAATATTTTTTATGTTTGGTGAGTACGTATTGTTCAGTTTATTTAATTGGCTGTTTTATTGTATGATAGGGGTAGGAGCACTAGTCAAGGAGCCCTGATAATGCAGAGGGAACCCCCTGTGTGAGACATCATGTAATCCTATATATATAGGATTATATATATATAGGATTATATATATATGTATATATATATATGCACACAGCTGTTTTTCTCAGCTACATAGCCTGAGATAGCAGAATATTGTTAATTTAAA